ATGTTTCTGAGATCTAGTGGGGACCACACAGACTGGATATAAACATCTGAACTGCACAACAAATTGTCACCTAATAGCATAAATAATATTAAAACTCTGGCATTACAAAACTGTACTATAAATGTCATTGTTGAGGAATAAATTACCTTGAGTACCTTTTACATATCCACAAAATGAAAAATCCCACAGAGGGGCATTGCATCAAGAATGCAGAATTACAGCGTAGTTACAAAGCATTTTGAAGGAAGCTTGTCATATTCAGGTTGTATATATTTAGTACTGATAGAGGTGAGACTAAATACCATGGTGAGATTTAAAAGAGACATCTGAGGCTTTTGAAAATTTGTCTGGAGCGATGACTTCCATGAGAGATCAAAAATGTGAAAATGGCCTTTTACTGTACGGAAAATAATCTGTTATTATTGGGCAGCCAAAATGGCAAGCAATTCTCAATACATTTGCTCTGAAAGCAAACAAAGATGTGAAATAGGCTAAAAAACCCAAAATGTTATGAAATGACCTAGAGCAGGCTTTTGCTACTGTTGATATAGAAAATGTACATTTGTTCTATGAGAGTGAAATGGAACATGTTTAACCTTCATGGGAGATGTACAAGGAGGAAATCTTTGCTCTGTATTGAATAACATGAGAAAAAAATGTTCTGGGAAAACACAGTGCAGGACCAGCAATGCTGGAATAACATGATAAGGAAAGATTACTGTAAAACTGAATTATCTGGACACCAGACTAGATTATATTTTTGGTGAATTACCAAAATTATCCAATCTGGGAAAGGAAATCCCCCCAAAATATTTCCCAATGCAACTTGGTTTAGCGTTCTGACCTGGCCACCCAAGTCTAAGCCCTGATCTCTCATCTCATTAAACAGCATTGCGGTGAAAAAGCTGACCCTCTATCTCCCAGCTAAGGCCCCGTCCACACGAAATCAAAACAAACACGAAACGCTAATATTTTCCAGAAAGTTTGTCGTAAAGACGGAGACGTAAAATAAATGTGATCGACCACATGAATGCATGAAAACGCTGCAAAATGTATGCCAGGCCTGTAAGTGGCGCTGTGGTGCCAAAGCAAAAATAGGCGAAAACAGGCAACGAAATGTTGGGCATTCTCAGTAATATTTATACAACAACCAAACCGGAAAACTGGAAAATGGCCCTACGGGTCCATTTTCGTGGTTCAGTCAAATTGAGGTGATGAACTATGTCGTCTATATTGCTCTGTTCTTCCTGGAGATATTACAGAAGAAGAAGATTCTGTTGTAAGCCCGACAGCAGGGTGAGTAGCATGAGCAGCAACCATTCAACACAGTACAGCGCCATTGTTGTTGTGATACTGTGTCGCGCATGCGTGTTTAGAGGTGACGCTATGACGCATGTGTGTAAGAGAAAAATGCGGTTAGAGCTTAAAGATGGAAACGCGAAAACAGCGTTTCAAAATCTTCCCACTCTGAAGGCTTAATAAAAAAAAGATCATTTCCAGACCCCCAAAACGCCGGCTTCGTATGGATGAGAGGCTGGTTTGGTGAAAAATTTGTGCGTTAGGCCAGGGTTTGACTTCGTGTGGACGGGGCCTAAGAGTGATGATAGGAGCAAACGTATTAAATAAATGTAAGAGGCTTGATGATTGCTACTGGAAGCATCTCTCTAAAATTACAAAAGCCAAAGAAGAATGATTGTTATGTTTTTGGAAATTGGTAAAAATAAGTAAATATATTTAAATTTCTTTTAAGCTTTCTACTTAAGAGGTGAATAAAAAAAAACAGAAAACTTAAAAGTATGTTCTAGCTTTTTATTATATACGTATGAATGGTATGTTTTTACCATATTCTAAGAACAAGGTATTTAGTCCAACAATATTTTAGGGAATTCATGAAACATTAATAACTGAATAAAATACTGACTAGAACTGAAAATAAATCTAAACATAAAAAAAAAACCATAAAATAATAATAAACCTTCACACATATAATTGAACTAATATAGAAACAATCATAGAACAAAACAACTAGAAACAAACATCTGAGAGTTAAAACAGTATGGGCTGGATCTATCAAAGGTTTGCGTGTATTAAAACGTGAGCTATTTCACTGCGCACGCTAAAAAATTTACAAACTGATCTATCAACAGCGTGCTAAAAGGACTTGGTCTTTAAAACGTGCTAAATAGCGCCTCTTATCCATTTAGTACTTTTTCTGCAATGAATATGCAATATGGGGCGTTTTCACGCAAAAGTGCGTCTTGTGGGAGAAGAACATGTAAATATATTAATTTAGCACTCGCAAAGTGATTTATTAAACCTGAAAGCAATTTTGCTAACGGTATCTGACTCTATATTTAACACGTTTCAAAAGAAGGTGCAAATGGTCTGTATGCGTAATTGCGCACACATGGCAGCGGTTATTGTCGCAAGAAGGAGACATCGAAATGAAGCAAGGAGACGCAGAGAACGCATTTTTTCACTCCGTGTGAATATTTTTGGAATGAAGGAGGAAACGATCATCAAAACATTTCGTTTATACAGCATTGCCATTTTGGAGCTGCAATTCCAGTGATTTGCTCCTCACAGAGCGTCAGCTGTACTTGTTCCTCAATGCTGGTCAGAGGCATCTCATCTACTGTGCCCCCTCCTCTTTTGTTCGCAGATGTTTTCTTATATGCCAGTTTTTCTTTGGTTCGCCTTCTAATATCCTGGTATCTTCTTTTTACTTCATCCACTGTTCGCAAGGTTTCACCAACAGCGTTTACTTTATTACAGATTTGTTCACATATAGCGTTCCTCTGTGTGACAGTCACACTTCTTTGCTGTAGCTCACTTAAATGTTTGTTGGCTTCATCCACCAATACCTCAATTTCCATGGGGTCGAATTTCCTTTTGCGCTTTCTGCTGTCCAAACTCGCCATGCCGCAAACCAAAAAACGCGCAAAACCATCATTTAAATAGGGCGTCTCCAACAGTTTTGCACCTGCCACCAGTTACGCAATCACTCTTGTTAAATCACCCGCAAACCATGGTTCAGCCCCTTGCGCAAAATTCCAGTTTGCGAGCGCAAATTACTGCACGCAAAATTGGATCTTGATAAATCCGGCCCTATGTCTTTGTAAAGGAGACCTGGTGACCAGAAGACGGCAGTATTTCCACATTAATGTAAAAATGTAACCAATGTTTGATTTTCCTTATTGTTCGTGGTGATTTTAAAACTTACTTGTTGCATCGGATGTAGATTAGACAATTTCTGACTTATGAGGAACATATAGATCTGATTTTAAACAGCATGATCTCCTCTTTTTCACATTTAGAAGAATACGTTGATATTAACACCTCAGTTAAACAACTAGCCATAAACAAGAAAAAATAACTTTAATATGAAAACTTTGCATATCAAAGGTTCTTTATTAAACTGGGATGGACTTTTAAAAAGGCTTTAAATTAATCTTAAATGTATTTTGTGAGCAGCTGTGCGTAAAAAGAGCGTAAAAATTAATGAAACAATTTTGATTCATCCCTTAAGTTGTAGCTTGTTTAGGTAAAGAATGTCATCTAAGTGTGAAGCAGCCAGGTACTATCAAACATAATCTGAAAGTGGTCAGGTTCTGGACCATAAATAAGGAAAAACTTTCCAGGTTTACATGAAAGTCAGTGTCACTGGAGGGAAAAATATGAAAATAAAAATGAGGGTACTCAGTAGGAGGTCTTTCCAAAGGTGTTGGAAAAAGTCACAGGGTGTGGATGGATGGGAAATTAGTTTTTATGGATGGAGTTTAGTAACATCTTAGTCAGTTCAACTAGAACCAGTTTAAAATGACATTTCTAGAGAAATGAATAAAGAAATTCAAGAACAGATTAAACTCTAACACACAACAGTTGGACCAGTAAATGAAGAAAACATGGAGGAGAAGCAAACATTTCTGGAATTAGCCAGCTCGCTAAAAACACTCCAAGGGTAGATAAATGACTCATCCAAGAAGTCTATAAAAAACAGACCTACATGTAAAGTTCTGCAGGTTTTTCATGCCTCAGTCAAGGTCAGTGTTCATTAATTAAGAATTTAAAAATGTAGGGCAAAAATGGCCTCTAATGATGTTTTTCTAAACCAAAACCTCTGCAGACTTCAAAACATTTAATCACAAACACTCATTTGGATGACCCAAAGACCCTATGCTAAAACATTCTGTGGAGACGGTTATATTTGTGTTATACTTAAGTTAGTTTGATCTCAAGTATTTCAAATTAGCTTAAAAGCACAAAAAAACAAGAAATCTTCTTACATTTTAGAGGATTTTGCATGTAAGCCGTTTAAAATGTGAAAAATGAAGAATAGTGTGAGTGTTTATTTTTGTGTAAGCTATGCAAACTAAAAGGAGGTAAGAAAGGGTCGGTATGACGAACTGTTGCTAAGCAGTAATTGGTTGCTAGGTGGGGTGGGGGTAGGATGGGGGTACAGGTTTGCAGTCAGTGATGGAATCTGAGGGTTTACCCATGTTCCCATGTGTGCACGTGACGTGTGATCCTCTGGAATGAAGTGACATGAATACTAATGCAACAGTTTCTATTTCAGACACGCACTCCTCCACACTGAAAAATCAAGACTTATTGCAAACTGAGCTGGAAATGAGTCACAACGATGCTTTGAAAATAAGAATTTCATGTAAATCTGTTTTTCAAGCCTATGAAATTTTAAACAAGAAAGAAATACTATAACATTTTTAAGTCCCTGTTTCAGATTCAGTAAGAGAAGAATGACTCATCTGTCCTGCGTTTCTTTGCAGAGCAATCAAGGAAAGCTGCAGAATATCTGGCAGTGGAACAGATAAAGTGAAACCAGCGCCCCCATGGCTTTTCCTGGCATGATTACAGGGTTATGCACAGAGGGGGGAAAGCCTTGCAGTTTGCAGGCTTCCCTCCTTGAATCTTCAGAGATTCTGCTTGTGTGTTAGACATACATGGTTTACAGCCAGAGGCTGCGTGTCCATCTGGTGTCCATCTGGCTGGTGGCATCTCAGTCTGATATGGTCTGATCCAAGCGGGTGAAGGACAGGCTGGGCAGGTTGGTGGGACGGGACACAGGCAGCCATTTGTAATCAAGATCCTGTGATGTAGGGTCCAAATACCAGTCGTAGTTCTTTAAGAGGTATCTGCAAGCTTCCTAAAAACATGAAAACAGTAAAGGTGGTCTATTTTCAATGTGTTTAAGGCAGAGCAAAGACAAAGTGTTTAAGAGCTAAACCCTCTGCCCAAGCCTATTAGGTCTTAAACTAGCAAAGCTACAGCTTCCACAGCATTTTCATTCCAGTTTGAAAAGGCAGCTTTTAGCAGCCAATTTCTAATACAACATCAAGTGCTTTGGACGTAATTTGAAGTTTCATATTTGGATTCAGACCTATGTTTTCTGATCTACTTTCATTTCCTAGTGTCTGTTTAGATTCTGATGTCATTCGCAGCATTTCTTATTGGCTCATCCTACGACTTTTTAACCGACCAATCACATCTCCCCCTAACCTTCACTTTATGAATGAGGATTTTCCTGATGTGGGGGGAGGAGCAGGATGAATGAATGGGGAGGATGGCATACGCAGAAAGGATGCTGAGGACCGGGGGTGGGGAAGGAGGGCAGGGGGAAGGATGAAGGAAGGAGAGCGATGAGTCACATCTCTGACCTAGATCCCCACAGACTCCTTGTTACTCTGATTATATCCTCCTCAGTGTGTGAGCAGAAGATGGTCATCATATTAAAAACCAGTCAAACGCAATGGATTACCAGTCAGTCTCCGTAAGGAAGTAAAAGACTTAATGCTTATCTTGACTTAAAGAAATAAAAACATCTGGTTGTTGCTTGCAGATTCTGCTTCAAGTTCACTCCCACTATGTGGTTCCATGAGTCTCCAAAGTAAATAGCTTCTCTGTCTCAGTTCTATAAACAGCTGGAGAAATAAAGCAATAATTTTGTTAGTGAAGACGCTAAAATGTCACAATAAAGAAGCTAATAGAATAAAAATTTGAGCACCTGTATAATTATTTTTACTTTATAAAGTCTTTCCAACCTCTGCTTTAAAACTACTGGTCCTCCTAAGAATTCAATCAATCAACATCAATAGAAATATTAAAACTTAATCAAACTGTCGTAATGTTATAGTTATCAATCCATTGAACATTGGACATTGGTCATATATATGTGTCTTTGTGTGTGTCCCTTTATTGTCCCATTGTGGAACAATAAAGGAATTTTCTTCTATTCTATGTCCTACCAAGGCTTGCTCATTTGGAAACTCAGAAAATGAGAAAGGTACGTAGGTGATTTCCTTTTCTAATCTAGATAATAGATAAGAGAAAACAACATATTGCATAAATCTTTCCATGGTTTTGTCAGAGATGGCACAAGATAAAAACAAATGTTGTTCTGACAAAAAAAGTTTGAACAAGGACCCAAGTTTATAGTTTAAAGTGGCTATGCTGATTTTGTCACACAAAACAAACTAGCTTAATGTCTCTAACTGTATCTTTTAACATAGATAGACAGAATATCATAAAAAAGCTAACTGCACAAACAAATAACTGTTTTGCATGTCATCAAGTCAAATAAGTCTTTATTCCTTAATTCAGAGCCTGACTTACAGTAGACCTTAATAGAAAGCCTTTTTCACAAATATATTAGAAAAAATATTTTTTATTTTTTAAAGCTTTGAAATTTAAAGCTTCGGCTTAAAAAGTTGGAGTCAGTCTTGTGGAGAAGGTCTTTTTTTCTTAAAATGGTTTGACTTCTTTCTCAGACATTTTTTAGTTTAAGTTGTTACAAATAAACTCAGCCTTATTAATAGTACATTTGCATTGTAGCAAACTATGCTTTTCTCAAAGCAGACAAGAAACCCAAACAGGCCTCCAGCCAAGCATCCAGTAGGAAGGTTAAACCCAAACATAGTGCTAAAGCTGAGCAGGTGTAGAAAAGTGATGGGATATTTCACCTGAGATTACCAAATGATGGAAAGGTGGAATTTTGCTTCTGCTACGGTCAAAGGGTTCATAATTCTTTACATAAGACTGGAGATCTAATCATGTTTTATAATAATACACCAGTAGGCAGCTGGCAGCTAAAAAATAAACAACAAACACAATATAAATGAGTCCATGTTAATCAGTGACAGAGAGCCTGCCATAAACATTGGAGTTTTTCTTTTTGGTCAGTAAGCCGTTGGTCCTCGTTTGCATATCTTAATTGCCACCATTAACTTGTTGATCCATTATGCAAATATCCTAATAAAGCTGAGTCTATCTGTAACTCAAACTGAAGAAGTTTCAGCAGAAGAGACAAAACCTTCCCATTATTAAGAGGTGGAGCTGGTTACAAGGCTTTTGTTGAGCTACTCTATAAAAGCCTGGAGCTAAACGCTAATAGAGACATTTTGAATTGAGAAAGCTTCCTGGAGTCAGAAAATATACCAACAGGATGATTCAGTCACTCTTAGGCCCCGTCCACACGAAGTCAAAACGAACACGAAACGCTGATATTTTCCAAAACGTTTGCCGTAAAGACGGAGACGTAAAATAAATGTGAGCGTCCACACGAATGCATGAAAACGCTGCAAAATGTATGCCAGGCCTGTAAGTGGCGCTGTGGTGCCAAAGCAAAAATAAGCGACGAAATGTTGGGCATGCGCACTAATATTTGTTAGAAGTTTCATCAGTTCAGAAGCTTTGTCTGCAATGATGAAGGCTCACTCGCTTCAGCATACTGAATACTTGGAAAAACTGATGTTGCAGGAGAGTATGCCCTATCTTATGAGTAACTCGGCTAATAATTCAACTAATTCCAGGGATCACAGAATGCGTAAGATTGTGCAATCATTATGTCTATCTTTATCAGTAAAAAGAAAAACTGTGACTTGTCAATTTATCATGACTAAACTATGCTTGATGCTTTCAAAAGCCCAAAAAAGCCAAGATATTTTTTAACTGCTTCAATGTTGCTTTTCACTGTTTCAAAAAGAACATTAATCTAACTAAGGCCCCGTCCACACGAAGTCAAAACGAACACGAAACGCTGATATTTTCCAAAACGTTTGCCGTAAAGATGGAGACGTAAAATAACTGTGAGCGTCCACACGAATGCATGAAAACGCTGCAAAATGTATGCCAGGCCTGTAAGTGGCGCTGTGGTGCCAAAGCAAAAATAAGCGACAAAATGTTTGGCATGCGCACTAATATTTATACATGGTTGCCCTGCGGGTCCATTTTCGTGGTTAAGTCAAATTCAGGTGCTGAACTATGTCGTCGATATTGCTCTGTTCTTCCTGGAGATATTCCAGAAGAAGAAGATTCTGTTGTAAGCCCGACAGCAGGGTGAGTAGCATTAGCAGCAACGGCGCCATTGTTGTTGTGATGTGTCGCGCATGCGTGTTTAGAGGCGACGCTATGACGCATGCGTGTAAAAAAAAATATGCGGTTAGAGCGTAAAGATGGAAACGCGAAAACGGCATTTCAGAATCTTCCCACTCTGAAGGCTGAATAAAAAAAAGATCGTTTACAGACCCCCGAAACGCCGGCTTCGTGTGGATGAGAGGCTGGTTTGGTGAAAAATGTGTGCGTTTAGGCCAGGGTTCGTCTTCGTGTGGACGGGGCCTTAGACTATCATGTTCACCTGGAAAAGCCATCTCTCAACAGAGGAGGTGGTCTTAGACATAACCCTCACCTGACTTGCACTTAAACGAGGCATGTGACCGAAACCACTCTGACAAGAGAGTTAACGACCCATCAAAACCCCCTAAGGACCATTAACACCCCCCCTTTGACCTCCTTGGCCAATCCAGTGGAAGGGATCAAAGCCACGTTTTGAATTTTAAATCTTTGTTAGACCTACAGTATATTCATCTAGGTACTTCCCAACACTAGTCAAAACTGAAGAACCTCCTGGATGACAGGTGAAATGTCTTCTTGAAAACATCACATCCAGTTACCTAGACTAAACGTTTTCGAACATATTATCAAGTTTGGCCACTCCTTTTCTGTCTGAAGTGTATCTTGAGTTAAAGTCATGTTCCAAGGGCTCATCCATGACCCACTTATTTCAAATACACTGACTGTGATTGAAAGGAAACAGACCTATCCTACATGCTGGGCAGTATAGACTGTGGTTTACTGGTCATACTTAACAATTCTCTTGCCCTTTAAGCACAGATTGTTTAAGCTGAACACAATTCTTCCTCTGAACTCTTTGAAGCAGTTAGATGTTCCCTGATAAACTTGTAAAGGACTGTGTATCTTGTCTCTATAGGGATGCAATCTTTCAGTCCATTGTGTTGGCTTGTATAATTAGTTATGTTGTTTGTGAGTTCAACTGCCTGCAGATCATCAACCTGCTCAAGCTGTGTAGAGCTGAGCGGATCTTTTAACTCTCTATTGATAATTATCACTATATTTAATGATATTTCTTCTTTTTCCCCAACACTTGCTTCTCCTCGTTGTCGTTGGTAAAAAGCCCTTAGATCTGTTCATGGTGGCGAAGAGGCGGGAACTAAAGAAACTGATTAGAAGGACTGGTGTCCTTTTTACACATAGGTTATTATCAGGATAATCAGTAAAAGATAAATTAAATGATTTGTGAGACAAATCGGCAGTTAAATCTGTGGAAGCCAGAGTTCTGTTTGTGTTAAAGGACAATGACAGAAAAAAAATACATGTTGAATTTGAAAAGTGACAGTCAACATACAGTATACTAAATGGGTTGGATAATGTTAGGTATGTTATATTTTGCATCCACCAACAAATGTTTGGTTAAGTTGTTTTTTTTTTTTTTAGTTGGTTTTCACACTTAGTTTTTTTGTTTTTGTTTTGATTTGTATAGAAAAATGACTAAATCTAAAATGAAATGAAATGACAGCTCAGTATTCTTCAGTTTCTGTTTAATGGAAAGACAGTTGTAGTAGAAACCCAATTTAGGTCTGATCATAGGTTGGGTGGATACTCCTCCTGAGGTGTTTTATCAGGGACAGATTCTCATCTTTTATATATTTAAAATACTAAACAGTTAATAATCCCATGTTTTTTACAAATGCCCCAAAATGTACCAAGAAATAATGATTTGACCAACATTAATACAAGATTTCAAAATAGAACTGATCTTGTGTCCTGTGTGTATGTGTTAAATAATTTCTGGCTTCACATCTCTATAGACTTTTTTTGTGATAAGTGAGATATTTTTTCCAAATCTTGTTGCAGATCCTAGTGAAATTAAAACCTAAAACTGGAGACATTTTTATATTTTCTTTGGCAAAAAAAAAATCAGGATCAGAAATAAGAAAAGATGGAGATTTCATGAAGAAAGAAAGATAAAGAGACAGGTAGGACCAAAGGTGAAGGAGGCCATTAAAACTGCAATAATAAACAAGAGACAACAGGGGAAATGATGTTTGCATAAGTGATGAAGATGCAAATCTTTCGGATTCAGAGAAAGATAGAGAAGACAATGCCGGGAAACTGATGAAGAAAACAAAGGAAGTAAAAAAACGAATCCAATGCAGAGATGTTAGATTTGGTGTTCTATTATCTCCCCTAAAAAAACATGTCTGAAATCAATCCTGCATGGTATGTTTTCTTTGTTTTGTTTTGTGGAACATTTGTTTTTTTTAGTTGTCTCATACCTAAACATTATTTTTGATTCTTTAAAAAGAAAATTACACAATATCTTTACTCGTCTTGCTGAATCCATTTCACATATCAGAGATTTCTTATGTACCTCGATAAAGAGGTCGAGCTTTGCCATCCTGCCTAGACATTTTGTGCCTCTTTTGCCCTCTGATGTAAAATTTTTCTAAATCCACCACTTCCTCAGATGTATTGTACGCAATCAAGGAACAAAAAGTAATTGTTTTATTAACATAGATTCTATAGGTAGGTGAAGACGGAAGTTGGTGTTGTAAGAAGAATCTCTATCTGGACATCCCTATATCTGGCATGAGTCATGTGTAATAGTGCATAATATATCTGTGTAGGATGTAGGTGTGTTGAGTCATTTCTTGGAGCTACATTTCAGACAGCTTGAGATAACACCCACAATGTGCTGCATTTTTTAATCTGGGACATGTCATTAATGTCAAGGTAAATATAATCTACCTACGTAAGTTAAATAGCACACTTTAACTCTATTATTTAATCCTTTAGATGCAGAGCACTGAGGCGAGCATCTTATCTATCAAAAAATGTCTTTTCCTTAAAAGCCGCACAACATCTCTATTACTTTGTCTTCTTGTCTTTAACATAAAGTTAAAAAATGGTGGTATTAAAAAACAAATACCTTAATAGGCTTCTAGCATGTTGTTTACTTAAAAAATATTTTTTGTTAAATATTTGTAAAGTTTTTTTGTGGTTGTAATATTTGAATTTATTTTGGAATGAGTTGTAAACTTTACAGCTATAGCAATAAATACAGCAAACTCTACAGCTTCATTTTGTTTTAGGATATATATATATATATATATATATATATATATATATATATATATATATATATATATATATATATATATATATATATATATATATATATATATATATATATATATATATATATATATATATATATATAGACAAAGGATTTATAGAAATGTTGGCCAACTGAAAAGTATGAACATGAAAAGTATGAGCATGTACAGCACTCAGTATTTAGTTGGGCCTCCTTTGGCCTGTATTACTGCAGCAATGCGGCGTGGCATGGAGTCGATCAGTCTGTGGCACTGCTCAGGTGTTATGATAGCCCAGGTTGCTCTAATAGTGGCTTTTAGCTCTTCTGAATTGTTGGGTCTGGTGTATTGCATCTTCTTCTTCACAATACCCCATAGATTTTCTATGGGGTTAAGGTCAGGAGAGTTTGCTGGCCAATTAAGAACAGGGATACCATGGTCCTTCAACCAGGTACTGGTAGCTTTGGCACTGTGTGCAGGTGCCAAGTCCTGTTGGAAAATGAAATCTGCATCTCCAAAAAGTTGGTCAGCTGCAGGAAGCATGAAGTGCTCTAAAACTTCCTGGTATGTGGCTGCGTTGACCCTGGACCTCAGAAAACACAATGGACCAACACCAGCAGATGACATGGCACCCCAAACCATCACTGACTGTGGAAACTTTACACTGGACTTCAAGCAACGTGGATGAAGTGCCTCTCTTCTTTTCCTCCAGACTCTGGGACCTTGATTTCCAAAGGAAATGCAAAATTTACTTTCATCAGAGAACATGACTTTGGACCACTCACCAGCAGTCCAGTCCTGTTTCTCTTTAGCCCAGGCAAGACGCTTCTGACGCTGTCTGTGGTTCAAGAGTGGCTTGACACAAGGAATGCGACAGCAGAAACCCATGTCTTTCATACGTCTGTGTGTGGTGGTTCTTGAAGCACTCACTCCAGCTGCAGTCCACTCTTTGTGAATCTCCCCCACATTTTTGAAGGGGTTTTGTTTCACAATCCTCTCCAGGGTGTGGTTATCTCTCTTGCTTGTACACTTTTTTCGACCACATCTTTTCCTTCCCTTCGCCTCTCTATTAATGTGCTTGGACACTGAGCTCTGTGAACAGCCAGCCTCTTTAGCGATTACCTTTTTTGTCTTGCCCTCCTTGTGCAAGGTGTCGATGGTCGTCTTTTGGACAACTGTCAAGTCAGCAGTCTTCCCCATGATTGTGTAGCCTATAGAACTAGACTGAAAGACCATTTAAAGGCTTTTGCAGGTGGTTTGAGTTAATTAGCTGATTAGAGTGTGGCACCAGGGGCCATCAATTTTGAACCTTTTCACAATATTCTAATTTTCTGATATGATGAATTTGAGATTTTCATTTGTTGTCATTTGTAATCATCAAAATTAAACAAAATAAACATCTGAAATATATGAGTTTGTATGTAATGTATGAATATAATATACAAGTTTCACTTTTTAAATGGAATTACTGAAATCAATCTACTTTTTCATGATATTCTAATTTTATGACCAGCACCTGTATAAAGTTTTAAACGAAGACTAACATATGTTTATGTTTAATATCGACCAGGCCCCTTAAGCTCTGGTTTTAACACCAACTCAGAATTTCTCCACAAAGGCTCACCGAACTCATAGAGATGGGCTCCAACAGTCAGCAGTGGGTGACCCATCAGCACCATTGCCTCTTAGGGTTCTGTTCTCTACTCCTCTTCTCAGCGTGTATTATTAAATGTCCCTCAGCACTCCTGTCGGTGAAACTCTGCAACTTTTCAGATTAAACCAAAGTTATTGTACGGATCCTGGTTTAAATCTTATTATATATTATACATATATATATATATATATATATATATATATATATATGTTCTTGCAAATCCTAGTACTTAGAGTAATGAGAAGAAAGGCATCTAAAGCATAATACAGGCCTGAATGGAGAAAAGTGACAAGTATGAAAGCATTAAGAGACCAGAAGTGATGCCTTGTTTAAAATAATAAATGTTGTAAATTTCAGATTTTTTTCTTGAATGTTCCTTAGCCCAAGTGTTAATGTGAACATTTGTGCCTTGTAGCTCTCTGCTTTAGTGTTTGCAAGGTCGTTACAACGCCTCCTTATTTCTCCTTTAGGTATATCCAATAAACAATGCACTGACATGCAGCCAGATATTTCCATGAACAGTGATCTATTTACAGGATGACTGGGGGTGGTTCTACGTTACAGAAGCTTGCTGACCAACAACTGTTTTACCATCTTTAAACAGCACCAAATTTCAAATAAAAGAATAACATTTTAAAAGGAATCAAACATTCTAAGCAGCTCTTTTTTTTTTTTTTTTACCTACACGATTTACCAAAACTATATATTTAATTAAACTACCTGGAGGGACTCACACAGAGAAAATCTGCAAATAGAAAAGTATTGAATTTATTTAAAGTGGTAACACAATCATATTCTTCAATATATTTCTACCTAAGGAAAACCAGCTGATTGTGAGGACTCATTGACTCTCTGTAATCCCTCCCACTGAGCATGCATGTAAAAAAAGTGGAGAGTAAAACTCAATTTTAACAGAAAGAAACTTCCAGCAGAACCAGACTCAGTGTAAGCGGCCATCTGCTGAGGCAGACTGGGGTTCAAGGAGACAGAAGCAGATGAAAACATAAATATGTTCTTTGGTGCTCGGGGCCCGGCAGAAGACTTTGATGCTGTGAATCAACATATGCTTGAATGAATAACTGAAAAAAGGATTAGAGTATTCTTCCCCCGGGAGCCGGACACTGGTGGTAGAATAATCCAGAGGATGAGTGGTACTGAGAATGAGTGAGGAGATGAGGTGGAGGTGGGTGAAAGTTTGCTTGCATGCGGGAGAGAGAAGCTGGGCTAGGAGCTAAATGAACGGGATCTTGCAAGATGATCGGCTTCGGAGAAGGTGCAGCCCCCGAGGTAATTGGCTAGACTGAAACAGGGACATCGCAAGTGGTTCAAGTGACGCTGACAAGAGGCTTCCAGATTAAACTTACGCTTAAGCTTCATTTCTAAATAATCCATTTGTTATCTGTTACTCATATGTTATGTAATTTACTTATAATTTTTTGTGCTATTTTTAGAATGTAAAAAAAATGCAAAATCTCTAGTATACTAACCTTTAGGTTTCATGGCAGACAAGAATGCAGGAAGGTTTGTAAAAGCAAATGCTCTCGGTCAAATATGTACTTAAGCTACTGCAAAACTTTTAGTAGGTTGGTGTATTTAGAAAAAACGTAACGTAAAGGAATAAAAATAACTCTTGAAACATCTAGTTCTGTTTATGCAAAACAAACAGTCCTTATGTCCCTCCTTCATAGAGTCAGGCTAACTAGAAATGGCAAAAGCAATATCTACACATAGATAAGTGAACGTCAGATAATACCTTCTTTTTAAATAAACAAAAATGCATGAAAAACATTTTTTAATCAAGACAATTAGTACAGAAAAGTTGCACATTTTCACTACTATTTTAATTGTGTATTTGTTTTGCTTTTTTACAAGATATTTATCACTCAGAAGATACAACAGACAACTTTTATAGCACAGTTATTAAAAATTAATTCAATCAGAGTAAGGAATGGTAATGACAGGGTTTTGAGCTCACCTTGAGGAAGATATCAGTAAGATTAGAACCAATGCAGCTTCTGGTTCCATTGCCAAATGAACACAGCAAATGCTCTTGGCCTGCATTCCTGTAATAAAACAAGGATGAAGAAAAATATTTGAAATAAAAACAGAAAGGATTCAACAGACCTCTCTTTTGTCTTTAAATAGGAGTTTGTTCAAATGAGCTTAAATGTTTTTCTAATGAAAGCCACTAAAAAATGTTGAGAGGGTTTGAAAAAAAAATCTCAAAACAGACAATAATTTTTCAAACTTGCAAATCTATCTATTTCCGTCATACCTGAAACTGTCTTAAAGAGAAATACATGCTGGTAGTTTCCGTCCATCAGTCGATAACCTGCCCATTCAGGCCATCTCCTGTGTCTAATTGCATCCTGTCTTCCTGAAACCTGAGCTCTGATTAAAGGCAAACAGGAAGCATTAGAGATGTGTAGAGTCTGGAAGCAGTTTGCCAGATGGTCGGTGTGTGTGAGCGGAGAGATTATTAGTGTTCTCGCTGCTATCTTTTTTAACGATTTAATGTACTATAGGGAGCAACCTGGAGCATTAAAATGTGTGCCGCTTCTTGAATGTTGAAATGTAGAACAGAGAAGCTGATAATGAATGGAAAAAGAGCATAATCTGAAATTAATATGGCGGAATTTCTAATGAATTTAATCAATTTCAACTACAACCAGGGAGCAGTCTAGGACCCAAAGACCCAGACACAAAGAAAAAGATTTTAGGGCAAAGGGATAATTATTTAGTACATTTAAAGGGTAAATGTTAGAAATGTAAGCAGTTCATGAAGAAATGTCAAAAACTGAGGAAGGTCCACTTTATTATAAAGTCAGCTTTATCCATAGTTTTAGCTATGTAGTACTTTTAAAAGTGCATACTCACGTTAATGTAAAAAAATAACAGTAACTCACTATAGTTGCATATAAAGTTTTTTCTGAAAGATTACTGCATTCTGCTGGGATATTTGTTATTTTTCCCCCTGGTTTTCAGTCCCTTTGTTAGTAAATAGAGTCTTTTGTCTATATTCAAAATAACAAAGAGGGTATGATGCTGTGCTTGTGCACAGAGGGTAAACAAGAGCTAGCCTACCATGGCTTTGCAGGTAGCACCTCTCAAAGAAGAGCAAACATAATGAAAACAAGTTCAAGATCTATAAAAAATGATTGGATTCCAACAAGGATAGAACTCAAATGTCGTTTGGAATACAGTTTGAACATTGGGGTTTGGTATTCTTGGACTCTATAGTCTAAGTTCAAATTCCAATACAAATAGATTTATTATATGATTAACTGGTTAATACCTTGATGCTGTGACCTTGTTTGCATTTGGTAGGAACGGGAATTGTCCTTTTCCTCAGTGTTCTGATAGGAGACTTTCGGGATGATTCACTACAACTTAAGAGTTACTGTAGATCAGTTTATTTAATTCATATGGGTCAGACCATCAGGTTCTTTTAAGTGTCTACCTCAATTGTTGCCATCTGGCTTTCGGATTCTTCTTCAGTACTGCAGCATTCTCCAGCATAGCAGCATAGCAGATGAAGTTTGGAGTATATAACCTTATTTCATTCAGATTAAATGGTTTTGGGGCCTTTTATTGTAGGCATAGAACACGACTATTCAGTTTTAAGAGAAATATTTCATTTTTAGTTGAAATGATTGCCATACATATATTCGTTTATTGGTCTGATAAATCTGGGTAATCTCTCTTTACAATAGTTTTTTTCTGTAAGACAAAGGTTGATGCTGCTGCAGCTCACAGTCTGTCTGTATCAGGTTCTCTGTTCTTTACACAGAGTTTAATGAACAACTGAAACACTACAGTAACTGAAATCTACAAGTTTAGAGTGACGGCCAAGTGGTTAGGGCATAGAGGTTGGAATCCTGAGGGTCTGATTTCGAGCCCCACTCCCACAGACTGTCACTCTGGGTCTCTGAGCAAGACCATTAACCCCACACTGCTCCCCGGGCAGCCCACGATGGCAGCCCACTGCTCCCCAAGAAGGATGAGTTAAATGCAGAGGTATATGTCTCCATTGTGAGATCAATAAAGTTCAATTATTATTATTATTATTCCACAGAAAGCACAGAACACTAAAACTTACTTTTTTTTCTGCAAACTATAAAATGTACAATGCTATGAAAACAGATCTCTCTTACAATATCTTCTCTTTTTACTTTACTTGTCAAACTTAAATATTTCAGATTATCAAATAAATTTTACATTTTATTCACATTCTCAATGTAACAGAGTAACTTTTCAATGCATCTTTTATGTTTTGAAAATGTATACTGTACTTAAAATATAAAAAAATATCGCATTACAATCTTTATATAGAACACCCTTATTTTTTGCAGACTAAGCTGTTACGTTGTCAGTAATATCTTCATGCAAAAACACAGATCAGCTATAAATACTGACAAATGTTTCCTTAGACAAGGAATGTTCCTGATCTCAAATTCCTCTTAAACCCACAGTAATATCTGCTGCAGTCACTGAGATTCTTATCTGCACTCGGTAGCATTTCCGAGCATGTGTGGGCGTTCGGCTAATGGGATTTTAACTTTCCTTTTTGCTTCCTTTCAAAAAAGAAAAGGCATACAAATGCATAAATGTACATCAAGAAAATATATGCTGGGAGTGAAAAACAAAAAATGAGAACCCAAACAAAACAGGAACAAATGATGCGGTGGTGATTGTAGGTGGGCTCGTTATATAACAGGACTGCAGTCATTAAATTAAAGAGCCAGGTGGCATGAAAACAAGGTTGGAAACCATCACAGCAGACAGTAAAGCAGTGTCTGGAAAAGCTGGCAGATGGAGAAGCAGAGTGAAAGGCACACAGAAGACAGGAGAAAAAGACTGGATGACAAAGGAGACTTGGAGAAGGAACAACAGAAGACACATATAGACTCAGCAACGTTAATGACTCCCATTGCAAACTGACTGTATGAGTAACAGTAAAGACATTAATATCAGGTTAACATTTATCCAATCCACCTAAAACTGGCTGCTGCAAAACATGAAAACCTTGCAAGCTGTAAATCACCAAATGGAATGAATAAATATACAAGCTTGAAGAAAACAATATGCAAGTCTTTAAATAAAACAATGTCGTTGAGTTTTGGAGAATATGGATGGAGACAATAATCACAATGAAGCCAAAGCAGAAAGACATTCACACTGTTGTTAAACAGCAGTTTTTAGTTCATGTCATAACTTCATAGTGAGATTTTGCACTATTCTCACATTTGAGTTAGAATAATATTTTATTTCAAGCGTTTTTCATTTGTGCAAAGGACATTGCAATTTGGAAATAAAAATGCTAAAAAGGTTGGGAGGTTGTAGCATAATTATAGATATGAACAAATGTAAAGTTTATATTCCACCGTTATTCCTGCATGTAAGTTAGCTTTATAAAGATCAATCTTTCTACTAATTGCTGCAACCGTCCCTTCATAGGTTCACCTAAAAAGTCCATGAGCACCTCAATATATAACAGATTTATTGACACTATATAAACCTCCCAGCTAAGTCAGGTCTTCTAGTCCAAGCCTACTCTGTACACCCGGAACTGGAACCAAACATGGAGAAGAAGCATTTAGTTCCTATCTAGAACCAACTCCCAGAAGAATGTAAAAGTGCTGAAAGCCTGAGCTTTTTAAAATAAATGTTAAAAACCAATTTGATAAGAACTGCCTTTGATTGTAAAACTGTTAATAAGATACAATTAGTTTGAGATTGTGCTCCAACTGTTATATTTGTTTTACTACCTGCTTCTATAATGTTTTATCTTACTTTACTTTTATTCTGCTTTTATTTTTCCTCTATTTTATTATCTAATTCATGTGAAGCAATTTAAATCTTCTTTGTATTGAATTGTGATATGCAGATAAACTTGCCTTGCCTTGGATACTACAGCAGAGATAGCTGCTGTAGGAAGATGGAGAAGTTGTATTCAAGAATAAAGGTTTCAAGAAATTCTTGCACTATTCTTGATCCCTGTTATGTAATGCTAGTTAAAAGGTAACTTTTAACTAGTTACAAGTTAATTCTCCAAAAAGATAACCGAGTTTGTTACTCAGTTATGGTCTCTGAGTTTGATATTACATATATGATCCATATATGAAATGGACCAAATATCTGAGAACACTGGCAACGAAACTGGCGACCAATCGGGTGTATTTGGTAAGACAATTTAGTTACGCCACCTATTAATTTTATTTAGTTTAAAGGGCTACAATAGTCTATAAAGTGGGTACAAAACTTGAAAATAATTATTTTCAAGCAATATAACATAAATAAGATTCAATTCAAGTCAAACATAATTTATAAATCCCTTTTGTTGACAACTTTTACTGTAATGAGTATTTTGCACAGTTGTATGAAAAATAAAAAAATACAATATCCATAGTCCAGAACTGATTGTCAAGAAAACTCAAGAACCAAAAAACTACACAATAGGGAGGAATAATGTAAAATAAATGACGAGGATCCACCAATGAGCAACTGAACAGGAGATGAATATACAGTATGGGAGACAGAAACAATGGGAGGACTAATCAGCTGATAGGGAGCAGGTGTAGACAGAAGTAACCAGAAGGAGCTAAGGGAAAGGAGACAGGCAGAAGGGGGCAACAGAGAGTAATTCAAAAAATACAACACTGCTTAGTAGGGATGGAACGGTTTATGAAAACCGTCTGAACCGTTCGGTTCGACTGTCTCGGTTCGGTTCGCGTGTGTTTCGTTTGCTTCATGCGCTGCTCCTTTTTCTCATAGGCGAAGCGTTTACACTCCAGAGCAGAAGGTGGCGGTACTGCGACCAAAGCCAACCACCAGTAGTAAACAAGAAGAAGAAGCGAAGCAGCGTAGCCGGGTGTAGCGAAAAAAAATCAGTTATTGTGGAGAACTGTGTGGGTATGGCGACTGGGAAAGAATAGGAGTTGGAAGACGCACCAGCAGCACTTTATAGGTCTGCTGTATGGGACCGCTTTGCATTTAGAGTGACCTACGATGACGACGGAAAGAAAGTTGTGGATAAAAGATTAACAGTGTGCAAGCATTGTGC